TAGCATAAGAACACATGCATAGATCTATGTATTTTTAAAAATTAAAATGAAAAATTCTCACTTTGCCATTTTTGGAAATTTTGGCCTGATTTTTTAGCAACTTTAGGCTAAACTAGGATAGAAGAGAAATAGACCACCTGAGACGTCTGCTACAGAAGAAAAGGAAAGGGAACTACAAGAGGAGAGAAGAGAAAAGGAATAAATTAGAAACAAACTACAGAAATACTGTGAAAATTCTGTACAAAACATGAAATACTAAGTATATGCACATGATGTCATAACAGTTATCATAACTTCCTTTACCAAGGGATTCAGGGAAATATTTTTCATAATTTTATTAATTTCTGTTGAATGACATCAGGAGGCAGGGCTGTTTAGTATTTACCTCTTTTGGTCGCCTCGGGTCGCCTCATATTTACACTGCTATAACTCTCTATTGGTCTGCACTTCTTCATTATCTTATCACCACCTTCATTTACTGTTGTGTCTACCCTATCATCTGTCTTCACTGATCCCCTTCTGTTTATGTTTTAGGAATTTATATATAAGTACTCACCGGCATGGCTCGGGACATGGCTAGAAAGCAGTCTTCATCTTCTTCGTCTCCTGGTCTCCTCAAACTGGAGGAGCAGCTCACCTGTGATGTGTGTCTTGGCTTTTTTAGCGACCCTAAGACTTTACCTTGTCTACATTCCTTCTGTCAGCACTGTTTGGAGGCATTACCTCGAGATAAGAAGAATGAGGATCACATATTTTGTCCCACTTGTCGTCATCATACAGAGTTGCCAAAAGAAGGAGTAGGAGCCTTTCCTGTAGCATTCCACCTCAACAACCTCCAAGAGACCTACAATCTAATGAAGGATGCTGTAGTATTTTCACCTGCTCCTCAAGAGGATACATGTAACGATCATGGTAAACCATTGGATGTTTTCTGTGAAGCATGTAATACAGTAATCTGTGTTATGTGCTTAGCTCATAATCACAAACATCACGAATACAACTTAGTCGCTGACAGTTATACGAAACATTGTGAAAGTTTACGAGAGTGTCTATCATCAGTTGAGGGAAAGAAGGAAGCACTCAAGAAGGTCATGTCTGCTTTAACGAAGAGAGAGGGTGAGATCAGAGAAAGAGGAGAAGAAGTCTTAGAAGAAATACATGAAATGGTAGAGGAAATGACGAATGTTCTTCGTCAGTCAGAAAGGAAACTGACTGAGCAGGCAAAGAGGGTCACAGATGCTAAACTGAAGGTGCTGTCTGAGCAGATGAAGTCAGCAGAAAAGAGGTTCAGTCTTCTGGAGGATGTTGCAAATGATATGGAACAGAGTCTGAAGGCAAGCATTCCTCAACAAGTCCTGAGGTCTAAGAAACAGATAATGGAGCGTATGAGTGAAGTTACTGCACAGATCAATGTGGAGAAGTACATC